CCCATCCGCTACCGTCCCGCTTCACGGTAGTCACGAAGACGGAAGATGGGGCATTGTCTTTCGTCTCACCAACCATTGTGTTTCTGGCGAGGGCCAATGGCCAACCGGTTGTGGTGCAGCCAGCCAGCCAACGTCGTGTGCCCAATCCGCGGTCAATGTCTTGGGGCGTCCCTTTTCATTCGAGCGAATACAGGCACGGAGGAGAAGACTACCCCGAATGGGACGCTTCCGAGTTGAGGACGAGCAACGCCTTTGCAGCCTGGCAGTTTCAGGGAACATAGGCCACTACTTTCCCAAGTAAATTAGAAGGACCAGAGCTGTTCCAGCCTGCTCGGTCCCCCAAACTGTGCCATTCCAAGGGCCCAGCACTTACCGGGTTTATGTGCTTTGGATGAAACAGGCGTTTTTGCACTCGTAATCTCCGGGACCCTACAATCCAATCCGTCGTCTCTTTCTCAACCGTACAACGGAGTGGGTCCTTAAACGCCCGTTGAATGTGTCGCCGACGTGGACATGCTTTCCTCGAGTCCCGCTCTCCGAGGCTCCAGTATCATTCACGCCATGTCTGACGTGACGTGATTTATATCCAGGAACAACTTGCTATGGTGCGAGAAAGGCAGAATGCAATGCCGGAATGCTATAAACTAGCAGTCCAGATTGGGCGGCGGAAGTAGCGGGGACAGGTAAGAAAAGGTCCCATTGTCCCTCGCCTCGTCCTCACGTCCTAATTAGTTGCTTCTCTTCGCCAACCGTTGCGTTGTGTTGCGCCACGGCGGGGAGCGGAGAAGGGCGGCGTGTCACAAACTGTTGGAACACACTCCACGAAATGGTCTCGACCGCGGCTGGGACCCGTCGAGGGTCTGTCGGACGAAGGGGGTCGACTTAGTGGCTGCGGAGAGCGTGCTGCTGTGCCATTGCGGATAACATAACAGGTCTCTGTTTGGCTTCTGGCAACCACTCTGGTGCCTATCAGGAACCTAGGACATGTGAATAAACCATGTCATGGCCCTAGAGCAGTAAAGTCGCTCATGCGATAACGGCAATAGCCCATCGTTATCCATCCATCCATCCGTCTGTCCATCCCCTCGGCCACCGCAGTATCCGCCCAATGTTACATGCTGATTGCAACACCAGCACAACCTAAGAGGAGAAAAAGAAAACGTAAAAACAGACAAATGCTATCCCGAATATGACAACATGAGTTTAGTCCAACGCCATAAAAACCCCCGGTTGGCAAACCGGGACACCCTTGGGCTTCGACCCCGCAGGCATTGCGTTACATATTGGGTCCTACGTCGTACGTAAAGTGAGGACCTGTTTGTGTAGCGACCACCCTGTTACAGAGCACCTTTTCCGGCGACAGAGGCGGGGCAGAGGTTGGTGAGTATTGGTCCTTCTCACGTTCCCCAGGCGAGCTCGGAATCGAGGGTGTTCCTGTCGTGCTTGGCCTTCGTTCTCTTGAAGTGTAGTCAATCAATCAGATATACCTACCTGCTATCATGACACAGCATCTCCAGAAAAGTTGTTCTAATTCGGAAGAGCGGTTTTGACAACTTTCATCGGCATTCGTGTCCCAGTAACTCCATCAGAGTAAGCAAAACCTCGTCGCCCAAAGACCGCACCGGGTATGGAACCCGTCTCTCTGCAGCGGTTCGGGTAATACGACATGGCCATCCACTGCACTGCGGGTGCATTGCATACCGGCCAGCAAGACCAAGTATGCTCCACACTCGCTCACACCACCCGACGGGCGAAAAAACTCCTGTACCTACCCGGCTCTGTCTGTCTGTATGTGCCACGTAGACAACCTCGGGAACTCCCATACCTATTCAAACTGCAATGGATGGATGGATGTATCTCAGATCCGTTGAGTTGTGTGTTTTGTTTTGTTTGGTGGGCGTTAGTCATAGATTCCACGTGTGGATAGCTTCGGGTGGCGTTGGGAGTCAATAGGATGGTTGACTCGTGGAATTATGCATACAATATTCCTGTTTCCATGTCCGAACCTCGTGACCGGTTGAAGGTGCGTTATACTCGGTATCATCGTCATCGTGATTGTCATCGTCAGCAAAAGGCTGGCTTCAGTTTCCACTTTGCTCCACGGTGATCAAGTCTCGACTCTCGAGCTCCAGCTGCCCCACCAGGCATGGAGCCCTGGAATTGCCTCGACCGTGATGCCTCCACGTCGCTGTTCGCTTGTCCTTAACCTGCTGAGCTTATACCTACCTGAGGTGCCGATGCAACTCCACATCTCCCGTTTCAAGTATCCACGCAAGCTACATCCATAGCTACCGAGTTTTAGATGCCCGAGCCGGATTTTCATAAGCTCACCAGCCAGCCCCACCCGTTTCATAGGGCGCGCGAGAAAATGCCGCGTTCCCGCATTGCTCCATCGAAGGATGGAACATATTTGGGCTCGGAGGAAGTGGTTGGGATGTGTTTGACGAGGGAGGAGCGAGGCGGTGGCAAGATCCGCTGCGGGAAAGGATGTTGTTCGTTGACGGCCCTGGGCCCTGGGCATCGCCATCATCGGGCATAGAGGTTGTCTTGAGGGGGTGTGATTAGTCGGGGCACAAGGGTAAGTTGGTGGGTTGTTAGTTACCTATATGTGTGGTTTGGGTTGAATCCTGGTTGAACATCTTTTGTGAGGTTTGGGGCCGAATGGGGCAACGAACTACGGATGCTGTTTTTGCTGCCGAATTCTCATGTTGGCTAGGGTTGATGTAACTCAGCTGTTGCGAAGAAAGGATCGAGAAAGCAACGTTGATCTGAAAACCTTGAACAAAATGTAGTGATGTTGTCATTCCTTGCTGTGGGTGATATTCAGACACAATGAATGCTAGCATTGCGATTGAGGCCCCAAAATAAAAGAGAATTAAACCTCATTTCATTCAATGAATGAATTGCAAAAAGCTCGCCACCGAACCCTATCCCCATCCGGAGGGATAGCGGTCGGTGGTTACGAAAATCCCACTGGGGGGGCTTTTTCTTCGCTGGTCCCGGGAATCGAACCCGGGACCATTTCGATTTACGACGGTAGTGGGCGCGCCTAGACCTACTCCCAATGCCGCTGAGCCAATCTGCCGGTGCGTTATGCTCAATTGGGAGGGCCGGTGACTGTTTCCTTGCGGGATTAGATATATATACCTGCGTGGGAGGGAAGGTGCGTGCTGCGTGATTCTCGGGGCTGAACTGCCCCTACCGACTTGGGAGGTTGGCATGAAAATGGCTCTGAAAGAAGGACCGCTAGAATTCGTGACTTCCGTGATTCCTTAGAACTTGGATTGTGGTTGATTATCTCTGGGTCACAGACGGTTTTCCTGGGATTTGGGGGTCGATTTACACCATTCCCTCGCCCCAACCCGGCCGGCCAACAGATAGTACGGTGTTCCCACTATCGACCACCTTTCATGGTGATGATTCCTGCTTGGTACTGATTACTACCGACGAGCTGGTTAGCCTCTCATCCTCATGGTTCCCGGGCGATGCCTCGCAGGTTCCGCAGTCAGCCCGAAGACAGACCTAGTACCGTCGACGCAGAACCTTTGGCGACGGGGTATGCCAAGCCATGCCCCCTTGATTGTATGGGAATGATCAATTACTGTAGATCCTTCCCTAAGGCGCTCGAAACGTCGAAAATTGGATCTCTCTCAAGCTCATCGTATGATATCAGGGGTACCCGCGTAGTACCGGGGACAGGTGGACGGATCAGATAGCTGAAGCGTCAATATTATAGCGGGTTCCGGTTTTCAGCACTGTCTTTCCGGATCCGCCACGGCAGCGTTACTTTAGTCTATTGATATATATCCCACACAGTTTATGCGTCCCAAGACACGGTTTGTAAAGGGGGGCCTGCAGACTAATACAGTGTGTGTCACGACAAGATTGGCTGTCTATAGACTGTCACCAGTCTACAGGCCCTTCATAGTCAAATGTGACAAATAGACTCGGACTAGAAAGGCTGCTCCAAGTATTTCGTCTTGTATAATCCGTCGAGAGAGAGCTGCGAAGTAAGGACGCGGTTATTCACTTCTCGAACGTTCATTGTTAACTTGGGTATCAAGGAGGGCCGAGCGAATGAAATGATTCTAAAATGGATTAAACTCCGTTGTTATCACAGATTGGAGCTCGGATGATAGCGATGATGTCCCTGAATATGTCCCTGAATGACTGGGCGAGGTTTGGTACTTTGCTAGTTGGCCATTATAATGAGTTAGAGTTGACAGCCGTGATGGTACGCCGCGCGCAGTTGTGGTCACAGATCACACGCAGCGAGCCGGCTTCGGGAATGGTTATGTGGACGGGCGCTCGGGGGTCAAGTGGTGACGGGATGTAGGAATAAACGAGTCATGTAGCTGAAAAAAAGAAAATTTCTATAAAAAAGTAGCCGTGAGTGGCAGTTAATTATGTACAATAGGGGCAACCACATGCCATATTCCCAATTGCCCGCCTCAAAAAGAAAACGTGCCCCGAATCAAGCCCAATCCCACGTGTTGTACAAATGCCGGTGACGCGTCTCGAACTCTCGATCATGATTCATGCGATCATGAGAGACGGCAGTCATGACTGTCGTGGTGTCGCCGCATCTCGGGCCGAAATTCAACCGCTCTCGGAGACTTCAGACTTGTGATGTTATGTCCACTTCAGACCACTCCACAGATTTTTTCTGACGTCTCGAACTAACTAATTCAATAAGTCTCCGAAAGTAGCCCCCAATGTCCAGCAGGAATAGTGGTTCGAAACCTCGCTGCACTGAGACGCCTAACCCGGAATTGCACAAGGCATACGTAGACTCGGTGTAATCCGGTCACTTTATTCAGAATTCGAGTCTATCGGGCGGAGCACGGATGGCGAAATTTGCAAGGAACTCAGCCCAAATTATGCTTTCAGTATAGTTAAGTACTTAAAGGACAACGATGATAGTCGTCTGAGGTCTTATGTTGGAGCAACTATTGCAACAGAACCGACAAGAAAGCAAGGTACCAAAAGAACACCTCACAATGCCTCCATTATTTCAACCATCAGTGCCTTCTCTGCCGCCCGGCATTAGCTTCTCTGGCAAAACCGCCATTGTGACGGGTGCCACTGCAGGTATCGGACTCGAAATCTGTCGTCAGCTGCTCACCCTTGGAGTCTCCAATCTCATCATGGCGGTACGCAACTTGCCAAAGGGCGAGACAGTCCGAGAAACTCTCGTCTCCGAACCCGCTGTCAAGACTGCCAACCCTAAAGCCACGGTCAAAGTCATGAAGCTCGACACAGAGATCTACGAAAGTGTGCAGAGCTTCGTCTCTGCGTTCAACGCTGAGTTTCAAGACCTACATCTGCTCATCGCCAATGCCGGGGTGGGTACAGCAGCGAAGGAGCTTGCGAGTTCCGGACACGAGAAGGACATCCAAGTCAACTATCTCTCCAACGTGCTCCTCACCCTCGCTTTCCTCCCCACCCTCGAAACCACGGCCACCAAGACTGGGACACCAACAAGAGTTACCTGGACCGGCAGCCGAATGCACATCTATTCCAGCCTCAGCGGGAAGCATCCACTGAAGAAGGGGGACACATCAATACTGAAGCACTTCAACACCGCCGACCCCATGTCCATGTTCGTGCGGTACGCAGACAGCAAGCTCCTCGCCGTGCTCTTCCAGCTCGAGCTCGCCAGGCACTACAGCCCGGACAAAGTCATCGTCAACAGCTTCTGTCCGGGGTAGGTCGACACAGGCATGACTGACGTGCTGCCCATCTACATCCGCATCCCAGTGAATGCGATAAAGGCTATTCGTGCACGGTCACCGAAAAAGGCGGGATGGATCGCACTGAATGCGGCTGTGGTGGCTGGCTCGGAGACACATGGGAAACTCTTGGGGGATATGGTGGTGCAAGAGCCGTGGGAATTTATTAAGAGTCAGGAGGGACAGCGGGTGCAGAAGATGCTGTGGAACGAGAGTGTTGACGAGATAGGTGGGTTGGTGAAGCTTCCTGCTTGGATGGGGAAGTTGGCGTAGGCTGTACACTAATTAATAGACTAATATAAAAATTGGAACACAACAAACTCTTTTCCATGAAACTTACCAAGTTTGATAATGATGGCTGAGGGACATTTTACAGCCACAAACGAAGAATGTCAGAAAGGGATCATTATTTGGAAATGGATTTTGGGTTTCCGACCACTCTGCATGCAGCAAGGGAAAGACCTACTCAACCAAGCAAAGCAAGCTCTCAGCCGGCAGACACCCGTCCAATCCAGCCATTGATAACCAACAGTTGCATGCAGCCCAAGCACCGGCCAGGCGCCAGTAGCCTAATTGGCACTGGCGTATGGTCGGGAATTTAATACTCACATGGACATTGAACCCAAAAGGTTCTTGGTTCGAGTAATGGTAGCACCACCGGGCGATGTTCTTTGGACCTGAGCACACCGTCGGGCAGGTAAAAAAAGATTTACTGGGCCCTCCCTACCTCTGAACATGGTGAAGGGCCTCACTATGTAAAAATGCAGGTGAGGAGGTCCCCAGATGGTAAAACTCTAGACTGAGAGGGTTTTCGTAGCCGAGCTTGGCCAGCTCGGTGAGCTTTTTGATGTTTTCTGTTTTCTTTTCTTTTTCTTTTTTTTTAGGTTTCGTTTTCTTTTGGGCCATGTTGAGAATGTGTTCAACATTTCTAATTCATTTGTTTTTCTTTTAGATTACAGGTTTCAGGGCGTCTTGTCGGCGTTACGGGCGAGAACAAGAGGTTCTTTAACATTTAATTACATCCAGATCTCTCTCGCACATCCAATACCCCCTTAACCTTCTACCTACTCCCGTCTTAGATTGGAATCAAACTCGCAGGCAACAACCTACTCTTAGCCTCCTTCGGGACCACCAACCTGCCCAACTCCTGCTCCCTCACAATCATCCCCACAAAGAAATAACTATCCCCCAGCTCTTCTAACTCAATCTTCTCAATCACCTCCGCATTCGGTCCATTCCCATTTTGTAAGTTACCACTCGCTCCCGCACTCTGCCAAACTCCCCCAAGACTCTGTGCCGCCGTCCCAATCCACTTGGTCACAGCCCACGGCCCCTTCGCACGCAGCAGCTCCTTTACCCGCTTCTTCTGCTCAACCCAACCTGCACCGTTCCCCCCGCGAGAACTTCCCGTGTTGTGATCATCTCCAACCATATCCACCACCTGCCCCAACGTCAAATACCTCCACTTCCCCCCATCCTTTTCCCGATTTCCATCCTCGCCAGGCTCGCCTTCATCCCGGCTCTCCGTAAAAAGATCCGGGATATGCTCCTCCATCTTAACACTCGCATACACCCCGGGTCCAACCCGCCACACCGGCACCGGCTTCAACTTCTCCTTGGGCAGACATCGGCCGACAAAACACACATTCGTGTCGGCGCCGTGTGTTAGATACATCTCCATCACGCTCAACACCGGCAGCTGCATCGTGTCATCAGGGACATCAGTATATGCTGCGCGTGATGCAGGGAGCAGGAGACCGTGGTTGCGGCGGAGCACGCCGAAGAGACAGAGGAGGGTGGCTGTCCAGGGGGTCCAGTGAGTAATGCTTAGGCTGTTTAACGACGATGGGAGGCAGGGCCAGGAGGGGACGGAGAAGTAAGTTGGGGGTAGCGGGGTGTTTGGCTCGGCGCCGGCTTTTAGTAGGGCGGTGGCTAGTGCTAGGGGTGGGGAAGAACCACGGCGGAGCTGGATGGACTCGTTATCGCCGTCGTCTGAGTGGGAGGAGACGATGGTGTCGGCGTCGAAGGTCGAAAGGGCTCCGGGGTTAGGGTTGGAGTCGTGGTTGGGATCGAAGCCCGGGAAAGCGAACATCTCGGTGGCGGTTTGCGGGTAGAGTAGGCTACCTCCGCCACCGGGGTTGATGGCGTGGTCGGATCCGGCGATGGCTTTCATGAGGCCCTTTCGGCGGCGGACGGCGAGGGAATTGTCTGGGGTGCTGTTGGCGTGTTTGCGCTGGTACGTCGTAGCCAGAGCAGCGGCACCGCCGAGGGAAGCGGAGAGGAGGATGCTGGTGAGGTGGTGCAGCTGGAGGAGGATGGGGAAACGGGTGGTGAGGCTAATGACGTAGCTGTCGTGGCGATGGAACGCTGCGGCGGACATGAACTCGAGGGCGAGGAATAAAGGGGGTGCTGCGCGCTCTTTGGAGTAATGCACCGTTCGCTCGACGTGTTGCTCAGTGACATCGTCATGGGCAGCGAGGACGATGCAGTATCGGTGTCGTCTTCCCATTGCTTTCGGCCCTTGCTGAGCACTGTTTATGATAATGAGTGAGAGTAGGAGTTCAAGCTCCGGGGCAGTTGTTGATTCCGAGTGGAAGAACTCGTCGGTGAGTTGGTCGAGGAACGATTCTGATTTAGCTAGCGACGGCACCGTTCTCAGTAGCACAATGCCGAGGTACCGATGCAGACCGGCCATTTTGGGCGCGCTCCATCCTGCGACCTGGTGCAGCCTCTGGATGATGTGTTCTTGGACGAGGAAGTCCCGCAGGTCGCGGTGGACAAACTCGATTCGCCGTCTCAGGGGTAGCGGCCGGGAAGTGTCCTTCCCATAGCCATCGTCGCGTATCTCAATAAAGTCTTCACACCGGCCCCTCAGCCGGGCTTCTGTAACTACCAGCCGCTTCTCCATTTGGCGATTGTCTGACCCCTTGGGGATATTCTTCGCCGAGGCAAGAAGATCATCCAAACCAATAGCTCCATCCAACACATCGTCCATCGCAGAGAAATACACCACCAGCCGGTGCTGGCCCTTTGGAAGAGACGGATCTGCTAAAGAAAGCAATGTGATCGCCACTCTGACCCGGTCGGGCCGCGCAAGCAGCCTGTCCAGCATGGTTTGGAACATGACCGACACGTCTTCGGGCATGGCGTGCAGCATGTCACCGAGTTCGGTGGCGGAATACGCATTGCCGATGCCTCGAACGAGATGCCGTATGGCGAGGCGTAGCCATAGAAAAACCCCGTTAGCCTTTGCAACTGCGGGCTTGATAAGGATGTCGTAGCCGTCTAGGTTGGAAGGAGAGACCACCACTCCTGAATACGTGATGGCCGATCGCAGTTCTTCCTGCGCAGCTTGGATCATGTCTTGATAGGTATGCTCGTGAAGGCGAAGACAAAAGTCCGGTTCCGTGTTGAAAATGTTTTCGAAAGCGCTGTACGGTCGACTGGATACGCAGAGTTTGATGTGAGGGAGATTGGCCCATTGCTTGAGAAGGTGAGCCAACCCAAGATGATCGCCTTCAAACTCATCCAGTCCGTCAATAAAGAAGCAGATCTTCCGATCTGATGTTGTGCTTGAGGCACCGATCAATCTCTCAAAAGCAGCCTCGATTTCACTCAGGGCGAACTCGGTGTCATTGCTGCCTGTGTCAGTGTTGGTGTTCCATTCATACGGAAAGACGTGCGGCATGAGTTCGGGACACGCCTTCAGCGTTTCCCAGAGTAGTCCACGATACAGACCCTCGATGGATCTCTGTATCCCAATCCCTGACCTCCAGAAGAAAAAGGAGGCAAAAACAAGCTGCTTGTCGCCTGCCCAGGTTTGTAATCCGCTTAAGGTCCGCTGCTCTCGAGCCAAAAACTTCATCATGGTTGATTTCCCGGCGCCTGGCTTGCCAGACAGGTAGAATATACCAGACCCAGCCTCTAGCCAGGTAAGAAACCGTGCTCGGGTGTCCGCCTTTAGTTGACTCGTTTCTTTTCTCTCGTGGGTTGATGGAGTGACGCTTTTTATTGCGATCTTTCGCAACTCAAAAAGAGCTTCGATGACTTCTTCAAAATTACTCTCGTCGTTCAATTTCTTTTTGGGCTTCTTCTTCTTCTTTTTCGACACTTGTTCATCTGGATCGGAATTCGGTGGCTTCCGTGATAGGGCTTCCGACGGGGGATACAGAAGCCATCGGTATGTCCCGGCACGAGCGGGCTCAATAGCATCTTCTCGTCGCCGGATTCCATGAAATGTGAGTTTCCTGAGAATTTGACGTTCTTTTTCTACCTTGGTTTTGGTTGTCGTAATTTCGGAGATGAGGTCCACCATCTTCTGCACGGTACGATCCTCCTGAACCCGCATCTCATCCTGTAAGTCGTTGATATGTGAAGCGGTTGCATGGCCGTTCGTTTCAATAATCTGAGATAGATGCAGGAGCTCCTGACTTAACGTATCCAACTTATCCGTAGTCTTTGTAGTCGAATCATCGCTTTGCGATTTGAGTTCTTGTAAACCGCGATAAGTCGACGATTGTTTTTGACTGGGTTCAGGTGTTAGTCCCAGCATTGGGCATCCGTCAAACCTCAAATTAGTTGGCCCTACCTCATCATAAAAATGATCCTCGTCACCAACTGCTTCCGACACCTCTCCAACCGCACCTCCAATTCCTCCAACTCCCCCTTCTCCCGCATCACCCTCCATGCAACTCGCAAACTCTCCCGCCTCGACCCCGGCGTCGCGACCTGCAGCCGCTTCAACCCAGCAACTAACTCCTCGGACACCTCACGACACCGCTCCGCCAGAGCTTCCATCGCCGCATCGTCTGCTGTCCGGGGCAGCGTCGACGGCGTAGCCAGAGCCGCAGCAGCTTCCCGGAAGTCGTCGTACACGGCGATCGCATCTCTGGTTCCTTCAGCGGCGCCTGTGGCGGAACGGGAGATCTGGCGGGCTTCTCGGAGGAGCTTGGTCGCGTAGTCGATGAATTGGAGGATGTTGCCCGAAAGGGCGATGGCGGTTAAGGGGTCCAACATCGTAAGAGGAGCATGGATGCTACAGGAGCCGTGTCAATTAGTAACGTTGAATTTCCGAGAACGGCTATGAAGGAGTCACTGGGTTTTATATGCGACTCGCAGTCTGCCTGATTGGCCTCATGGTGGGTGATAAAACGACTTCACCTGGAGCTAGATCGAAAGAGGTGAAGTGAGGCTGATTCCGTCCCCAGTGCATGAGTTGCCGAAGCGACGATGCTGTGATTGGTAGCTGTAAATCGTGGCTTTTAGATAATGACCTTGAGTTACATTGGGCTAACTCGAGTACCGGTCAATAAATCTAAGTTAGTAAATAATTATACCTACCTACCTAAACAACGGCGAACATAAAAAGTGAAGCAAGCAAAAACCCTGGCAGTTGAGGGGAATTCGGCCCATCCCCTAGCACCAGTGTAAAGAAAAACAAGAAAAGGAAATGAAGTGCGAAAAGGGAAAAGAACTAGCTTTTGCCAGGTAACAAACCACTAATTAGTAATTAGTAGATTCTTCTAGGCAATGGGTGTCCATCTTACCTAGAAATCTCTCCGAATGTAGAACAGAACAGTCTGTAGTTTGATCGCTGGACAAGAAGGACCCTCCCTGACCATGAAATGTAGGTAGAGCTAGGTACACCCATGACACGAAAACTCGAGCCCTCGGCTGCGCCTTCCCGAATTACACTGACTCTAGTTTCTTCTCAACAAGTAATTACATCTTAGGTATTGCAGAGGTCTATCCTATCCGGCGTCTCAGCAACTCAATCCTCCCAGTCCACACCCCGAAACTCAAACCATCTCGACCACTCCTCATCCTCCACAAGCTCCTTCGCCAACACCTTCTCATACCCAATCGACACCTCATACCCTTCATTTTCCTTTCTCGGCGGGTAGAGGATCACAATCCCAACATCCACTCTACCCCACAATTGTCTATACGCCACAACCTCGCCGAAACCAAAGTCCACTTTCTCCCCGTCTCCATGCCGCCCCATACCATTTACGCCGTTACTTTCTCTGTGTCTCACGGGACGGACAGAAGGAGCCGGAGATAGTAGTTTCCCCGCAGTCCTATGGTCCGACACCATAACCGCTAGTGCGGGCATGACGTGCAAATTCGCCGTCGCCCGCCTCTTTTGCCGGATTGCGGCGACCTGGTTGAGCATGGCATCGAGTACGACAGGTGTGCCGAACACCGAGGTATTTGCCCTGATGTAAGACGCCACGTGGGAAAGGGGCCAGGGCTTCTTCTGTGCGATTTGTCCCGGCTCTGTGTTAATACCGCTTAGGGGCTTGCCCATGACTTCGGCCACGGTGGGTGCCGAGGGTGCGCCGGGGATGGGCATGGTGGAGATGCCGACAGAAAGAATGTTGCGCTGCATGCGCGGGGGATATGTTCCCGGTGATGACGTGGCGTTGAGACGGGCGCGCATGTCTAGAATTTGGATCCAGAGTAACGGCGCAGAGGTTGGGATTCGATCGGCATAGTGTGGATGGCGGGTTTTCGTTATGGACCGCCAGATTTGGGCTACAACGGCGTCGTAGGTGGAGATGTGGGAGACCCCGGTATTTGTTGACGTGTCCGGCTGCGCCAAGGCTTTGAGTTCCGCGGCTTTGGACTTGGGAAGGTGGAAGAGCAGAAGCTGGCGACCCCCTGGTAGCGAGGTGGGCGTTTCCGGTCCCCAGAGCATGTTTTCCGGCACATCTACCTTCTTGTCTTCTGGGACCGGCGGCCGTGTGACGCTCGAAGCATCCAGACACGCCGAGTCCCATGGCGGATAACCCGCCCCGTCTCCCGTGACCGCAGCACGACAATTGTCCGCCAGCTGCTGCATGCATCCAACCCAGCCCGAGAGATCGTTGGCGAGATGATGTAAGTGAGTGACCAACACCAGACCGCTGCCACGGATAAAGCTAGCCTTCACTCCAAATACTGCAGGATGACGATCCATGTCCGCCACTGGGTTGTCCGAGCCGTAGGACATGTGCGGAATCCGCCAGAGGTCTGGATCGCTCCCCATGGCTGCAGCCCGGAAGTGTGCGCGCTCGAGACCCTGCAGAGACGGGAACCGCTCAGCATCCTCGGGCCGATCGAGCCATTGGACGTGGAACTCGACCGTGTCATCTTTCTTGCGGACGAAAGAATGACCGTCACCATCGGGGTCTTGCTCCAACGTGCTGCAGAGATGGCGGGCTTGGTTGAGGGTACGTTCAAGACCGTGCCGGAGGGCCGCCAGGGCCTTGCCTTGGGCGTGTGTGTCAAGGTTATCTAGTTGAAGGTAGAGCGCATAGTTCAGGTATGAACTGCTGGCTAGGTAGTCGAGAGTGGAGAGCTTCCAGCGTTCTTCTTCAGGGTCGCTTTCCCAGTTGAGAGGGTGGAGGTGGTATATCTCGTGCTTCGGCATGGCAGGGACAGAATCGTCAGCCGTGATGGTGATAAAAGTGTGTTTTTCGTCGTCGATGGCGTAGAAGTAGTCCGACTCCGTGGTCCTTTAACAGAACAAGTTGGAAAACCAAGAGGTAATTATGTCAGAGCAGCAGACAACCTTTAGGATACCATGAGAAGAAACATAAGTCATGTCTTTCTTTCTTCCGTCTTTTAAACCCCCCAACATGATTTCTACTAACCCCCCGCGTATCCCCCATAATTACCTAGTCGAGAGCCACTTATTCCCCCTGGCCGATGTCACGGTCGGCGTCGATCGGCACCGGCGTAAGTGTGGTTTCTACATAATCCTTCGCCGTTGGCGACCACGTTTTTATGTCTGAAGGATGCGCTGTTGCACCATCGCCATGTGCAGGGGACTTTGCTCCGACAGTTTATGGGGGGCCAGTTTTCCTTGTCTTGGCATCTTGATCATCAACCATCAGCGTAACGGTTCTCGGTTCTGAATTCCGACCTAATTATGCGGCCCTGCGGCACAAACCCGAGCTAAAATGAAGGGCGGAGTTCTGTAAATTGCGGTCAACGAAATCCTCTTTGCTCGCCGTGTAGTTATTCGTTTTCATGATCTTAAGTAACATATTATCGAAGGAAAAGCGGAAACGGGGTCATCTTGCCCTTTTGTGTCTTCTATAGTATTTATTCTGTATCTGACCACGCGTTCCCCCGAGAAGTCGATTCATGAGGTTGACTATAGCCTCAACATCTCGCAGCCCCTGACCTAGTGGAATTTGCTGTGCCACCCCCGCACCCGACCACCAAGAAATGCCGGTTGTTAGAGATTCGAGCTAGTACTGCACGTCATCACATCATCACAAATCCAGGGACAAATTCCCACGGAAATAGTTAAGGGGCTGGCTCATGGTCGCCCTGGTGGCAGCGTGGTTGCATTGGTTCCCGGACTGGGAGGACGGATTTGGCGATGAGTCCGAGGAGGCCTTGTCGTTCAAGCCTGCCAGAAACTGCACTGTTAGTATGGTGGACGGGTATGAAAACCGATGATACGGACTTGTTTTATCCAGCCTCGGGAAAAGCGCAAAGCGTTCTTGAAGGGCACCTGACTTAGTCCGTTCTAGCTCCCTCTACGGGAATTAATACGGTGTTGTATAGAAGATAGATGTCACGAATACTCATCTCCGCTTTGTTCTGTGGGAAACACATGGCGGATTTCGAAACCCCCAATTTGAACTGTGTGTCACGCCTCCTATGATTGGGTTATAGCTCCAGAGATAACAACGATGCTCTTCTTAAGTTAAAGCATTAAGACACAAGAACTAGTTTCGAACTTTTGATCAGGTAATTGCATGCACAGCAATTTCAAGTTCCTCAGCACCCGACGCCCGGCTAGGGTCTTTAATGGTCTGCGCTTAATCCCCCTCCCGTTCTCAAAATCAAACAGTCTGCATTCCAACCTAACGCTTCCGGAGTCGACCAAGGACAGGTCGCCAGGGTCATCCAAGAGTAGGTCCCTGGGCAGGTCCCTGGCGTGGTCCAGAGGAGGATCGATTGCGTGAGACGAACTCCTCGAACCAAGCTATCAAATCCACACAAACTTCCGCCAGCATCCGTGTCTCTCTTCCCCAGTCCGTATATTGGGCTTCTCGTGATTCGAGTAACTTTTCACGCAATTGCCAAATCATTAGTCTTACTCTGTCGCAGATGTGGACGAGTTCTGGGTCAAAATGAGAGGCGTTAGTATCCAGGGCTTTTTTGAGTCACCGTAATTACGGTTTATAGTCAGGATTCAAAGAAAACGATGCCCTACGTCTCGGTGAGGTATGCGCCTTGCACAGTTTCACATCACCGTGCTTCTGGTAATCCAATGCGAGTGTATGCAACCGGCGAACCGTGGCCATGAAGTCCCTCCACATGTCAGTATCCCCTTGGTTTTCCCTCTTTTCCTTGCGACCGAAGAGGTTCCTCTTTCTCAGCTTGCTTCCGTTGGCTGTGATAAGGGAGATACGCAACTTACCGGTCAGGTCTACGAGAGTGGCGAGGGATTCGGACACCGGGTTCGTGCCGCCGCCGGAGCACTGCGAGCTGGCCGACATGCCCGAGTTGTGACTCGGCGTCGTTATCATTGCCAGACCGGTAGTCGACCTCGCTATCAATTTCCATCGATTCGTCCTCATCAATTTCTAATTCTTGATTTTTCAGAGGCCTAATGGTATCGAGATGGCGAACGCGCCCGAAAAATGTTAATTATATGCCTGAATTTGCGGGTGTTGGGGGGCAACCAACCTTTCATCGGCGTCAATATCGGAGTCAATGAAGCTATCTCGGGGGGTGCTCATGAAGGCTTCGAAGTAGACCTTCCACCTCGCCGTATGTGATGATATGATCTTGCCGTTAGACGACATGGAGAAATCAGTGTTGTTTATTTTGCCTCTTTCAAGCTGTGCAGGCTTTTTTTGACTAACCGTTTTAATGATTGCACCAATAAAAAAGAGAAAACATGTAGAGATAATTATGTTACGGTAAATCGCGCTGTATGTTCTGCAATCTGTTCAGGTACTTCTGGGTTTTGAGTGTTGGTGTTTTGTCCCGTCCAACCATCCAACTCCTCCAAGCCCTCCCTCCCACCAAAACCTCCGAACTGCGAAAGAAGATTGAGGGGCACCCAGCTTTACCTATCATTTCCAGTGAGCTATCGTACGCTCCTTGGTCTCTAGCGGCGAACTTTCACCAAGGAGAAGGCAATCACCACTACGCCACGCCACCGCAATGAGCATAACCAAGCTGAACGTCGTCGTCGACCTTGGCGGCCGTTCGTACAGCGTAGGAACCCGCGTTGAGTCAGCCATTTGAACCTCCCACCCACTCCTGCCTCAGCGATTGCTTTAACTATTTGCTGACGATCCGGGTGGCAGTGGACCATCCCTACCGACTACGACAGCGGTCCCACCATCGCCCCAGCTGTTGTCTTGAGCACACGAAGCGTGGACTGGACAGTTGATGGCCTGGAATCCGTCTTATCGGCGTTTGACAAAGCCGATGATGTGTTCCAACCTGCTTTCGCCCAGGGAGGCCTTCTTATCGCTCGCTTAGACGGAGCCGAGACGCTAACTCCAACGCTACACAAGTCATCAACACGGTTCCTCGAAGAAAAGTCTAGCACCCTGATTTTTGTCACAGCCCAAGCGGACGAACTCCCAGATGGTCCATACTTCGTCCAGGGTCGTATACTTCACCGCGCTTGGAGGCTATACCCCGACGAAAACCTCGCTTTTACGCTTGCTTTAGCCCCATCGTCTGTGGATGGTGAAGAACTCACGTAAATGATTCCTTCTTCGTCATATTTTTTAGGTTTGAACTGATGTGCTAGCAGATGGGAGCCCCTCAAGGCTGGCGCTTATTCAGGGCTATATCCCGTGGCCGCAGTCCCCTCAAGACTATATTATCCTCCGAGCACAAAGAAGCCCCTCAACGGTCTCAGGATCACTGTCAAAGACAACTATCATCTTTCCGGCGTTCACACAACGCTAGGTAGCGGGTCCTATGCCCAACTCTATGGCCCACAGACCCAGACCTCTGAACTTGTCAAACGCCTTGTGGACAAAGGGGCCATCATCATCGGGAAGACAGAAATGGGGGCATATGCTGGCTCCGAGG